AGATTGAAGTTGTCAAGGATTTCATTTTACTTGAATCCACAATCAACGTCCGTGGAAGCAGCAGTCAGGAAATCAAATGATGTATTGCATTGGGCAAATCTGCTGCAAAAGACCTCTTTAAAGTGTTAAAAAGCAAAGATGTCACCCTGAGGACTAAGGTGTGCCTGACCCAACTGTTATTTTCAATCACCTCATATGCCTATGAAAACTGGACAATGAATAAGAAAGACCAAAGAAGAATTGATGTCTTTGAATTACGGTGTTGTTGAAGAATACTGAATATACCATAGACTGCCTGAAGAATGAGCAAATCTATCTTGGAAGAAGTACAGCCAGAATGCTACTCAGAAATGAGGACGGCGAGACTTCACCTCACTTACTTTGGACATGTTATCAGCAGGGACCAGTCCCTGGAGAAGAACATCATGCTTCGTAAAGTAGAGGGTCAGCAAAAAAGAGGAAGACCCTCAACAAGATGGACTGATACAGTAGCTACAACAATAGGCTCAAGTATAACAATGATTATGAGGATGGCGCAGGACTTGGCAGTGTTTCGTTCTGATGTACATAGGGTCAGTATGAGTAGGAAGCAACTTGATGGCACCTAACAATAACATGGAATGTTGCCAATAATTTGCTGTTTTACACGTGATTAGCTGTTCTCTTGCCTTACAGTGTACTACAGAAAGCAGTAAGATGAAGCTTAAATATCGTCATTAGAAATTCCAGATAGGTCCTAAGCAACAGCTGTCACAGCCCAAAGTAAGTGTTTGATAAGTATTAAGACTAGAAATACTCACAATCTCCTTGGTCAGCAGCCCATGCAGACCAGGCTGCCACCCGACTTCTGACATCCACCTGGGTCATGGTCCCAGGGGGAACGGGGGCAGGAGCTGTTGGTGGAGGTGGTATACCGGGGTCTGCTTTGGCAATCATTCTAAAAATGATGAAAACAAACAGAATCTTTAGCATTCTATTTCTGTAGCACATCAATTCTTTCAGCTTAGGTTATTAGTTCTTCAACCTCAAAAAGAACTATGTCAAGGGGCAGAACAATGAGGATTCTCTTACCGTTCCATATTACGTATATTTATAAATGTTCACAAAATGTAAAAACACAGGAACATTTAAATTCAGCTGAAAACTAGGTTGAATTTTTTTCTTCTGGGTCTCACGTGATTTGGGAAAGGCCAGGTACCAACTGTATTCGCAATGTCTAGTTTGTATTCCCCGAGGCACCACTCATCTTTCATGACTCTGTGCCTCCCAACACAAGTTGAAAGACATATCAGAAAAAGACCAAAATCACAGACAGAAAAGAAGGAGCACAGACATACTGATAACGCTGGGAAAACAAACAAATTGAAATTTCAGGTTGTAATCTGTAAAATATAGTATCTCCATTGAACATATCTTTCTAAACCTTTAGGGAAAACAGACTTAATAATCAATCAGTTCTACCCTTAATTTCTGTTAATGTTTTTACCTCAGGGCATCGGGCCGCCTCTTCTGTTTCCCTCCTTTACTGTCACTGATTGCACTTTCAATATCTTCACTAATTAGGTTTGCCTGCAAGGAGAGACAAGTTACCTGGGAGATTACAGATGTTTTGAGTCTTGATATGCAGGTTAAAACAGAAAAAGGGACTATGTTCCCTATCTGAATCAATAAGTGTCTTGATGTAAAAGGAAGGCCTTTTGGCTTTTTATCTGTCTTCAAAATAGTTATTTAATGGTGAACCTTCTAATGACAGGATTTAAGGGCTAAAAGAATTCTTAAGATTATCTGATCCAGGATGCCCTTAGTTTTAAAAGGCTATCCTTGCATAAAGACAAAGATAAAGAGCATATGCTGACAACAAAACTGGGTAAATATCTCTGCCTGAGAAGAAATGAAAGAGTCCGTGCTTGTATAGAGATGAGTTCCTTCCCTTTCTTATCTCCAAGATCCGCTAAAACCAAACCAAACCAAACTCATTGCCGTCAAATTGATTCCGACTCATAGCAACCCTACGGGACACAGCAGAACTGCCCTATACGGTTTCCAAGGAGCGGCTGGTGGATTCAACTGCTGAGTTTTGGTTAGCAGCAAAGGCTTAACCACTGTGGCACCAGGATCCACTGGGCACCCATTAACCACCTGAAACAAATTACTCAGCCCCGGCAGAGCTACTCCTAGTTTAGAGCAAAGTCAGTATAACCATACAATGAACTCCAACACTGGGTTGCGCCCTTTGTGATAATCACTTAATTCTGCCATTTCAGGTAAAAATTAACTTCTTCATATGATTAACTTTTCCAATACTTTTCCAACAAGAACATTTGATTCCATTTTCTTGGGAATCAAAGTGAGATTAGTATCTATGAAGTTTATTTTGTTTGCTTATGAGGTTTATTTATAGCCAGTGACTATTACTACATATTAGATTCTTGCTGGGATGTATTTATCTTCTCTTTTTGTGCCTGCTTGTTCTCTGTAATTATGTGTGTTTTCTCAAATACGTATATTATATACTCTTTTACAGTGAACATGGATAATCGTAAATTTTTCCAGCTGAAATGGCAGTTAAAAATCATCTATTCTCGTTTTATAAATAGCGAAACGGAAGAATAATGAAACTGCAATGACTTGGCCAAGGTCTCATGGCTAGTTAAATAAGAGTACTAATGGATCCCAGTCCAGTGTTACGTCCATAAGAATGGTCTAGTTTCAGAAGGACGCTACAAACATCATGTCAAAGGCTTTCTGTTATGTGGGATGTTAATACGAAGATGTCTAGCACCTGGAACTTCCTATAGGGGGATTATTATAGTTCTAAGAAAAATTTTATTACAGATGTGAGATAGGAGTATTTTGTGAAGTCCCACATAAAGAAACTTTAAAACTCAAAAGACATGTATACAAGAAACTGCATCATATTTTATTGTATTTATATTTTCAACTGGGCAAGGAAAAAAACTCTCTCGTATGTGGAATACGGCACCAATGAGTAAATGCATATGGTTGTTTAGTGGCACTTGAGCTTTTAGTTATGACAAACAGCATTCAGTAAATTCATTTCAGATACATCAATACTCATTCCCTATAAAAGAAAGTAAGCTCTTTATTCTCAAAACTGAAATTCAGAATCTTTACTCAGCACAGTAATTCTTAGCTCCTGGGAACCGTTGGAGAACTGATGCAAATACCACGTTGGAAATGTCTTTTAGCTTAGTCTTCTGCTAGTAAAATATTTAAACTAAATTTCACTATACTTTCAAAGCAAAACATTCAGTTTAACACATATTGATTTAACATATCTAACCCTGCAAAGTTCTTAACAGACTTAACGACTTCGAAAAGGCACTATGTAAAATACGAGGAACATCACATACACAAATTACCTAAATGCAGCATTTTTTTTCAGATAAGATTTTTAGACAATTATCTATGACATAAATTGAAATTATAAGACAATTATAAAATACAATGTTTACAGTCGAATCATATTTACCTATCACATTTTAATGGCAAAGACAAAGAAAAAGATAATTCTTTGTTAATCTTCCAGCATTTCTACATAAAATAAAATTTACCTCAATATTTTATAATACACAAACACAATGATAAATCACTGTTTTGGCAAAGTACCAATCAACACAAAAAAATTTCCTTTTAGAGAAAACAGCTCATTAGATAAAGATATTTAAGGTTGAAGACAACTTCTACCCACTGCCATCGAGTCGATTCCGACTCATAGTGACCATTTAAGACTGAGGAGAACTGTCCCACAGGATTTCCAAAAAGCAGCTGGTGGCTTCGAATTGTCAACCTTTTGGTTAGGAGCCATAGCTCTTAACCACTGTGCAACCAGGGATCCAGAAGATAACTTCTAGTGTCCAATAAATCGTCACACATTATAATCATATTAAAATTACAGTGCACTTTGAAACACAAACCTTCAGAATATAGCCTGTTATTACTATTAACTATGCTCAACTATTTTTGCATATCCCTTGGGGATTGTAAATCCTGAGCAAGTATTCAACTCACAAAATTAAACTAAACCCAACCAAACTCACTGCCATCAAGTCAATTCCGACTCATAGCAACCCTACCGGACAGAGTAGAAGTGCCCCATAAGGTTTTCAAGGCACAAATCTTTATGGGAGCAGACCGTCACATCTTTCTCCCATGAACAGGCTGGTGGGTTCAAACCACCGATCTTTTGGTTAGCACTGAGCACTTAACTACTGTGCCACCTGTAAATTAGTATCATGGACAATGTCTAAATTTTTTATTCAAATAATCCTTGCAATGTGCAAAATAAAATAAGAAAGCATGGTTATTTATTGTCCATGAAGCACGGTTTTTGAAAAATCAGTTTTTAATTATAAATCCAAGGCACTTGAAGAATTTATTATCTAGAGCAATTTTTTTAATAAATACAATTCATTTGATTTTTTTTATATCACTTTATCTCCTCTTTATTTGCCATTAAAACCCTAAAGGAGATACCAAGGTATCTGCTTTCCTCAAAAATTTCTCAGAAACAAAAAAATCTAGTACCCACTAACCATGACTGAAATAGGCAATTCACAAGCTGTCAGAACATTTGCTGGAGGGAAAAAAAAAATCCCTTTTTTATTTTTTTACCTTAATCTCATCACACTGGAAAAGATGAAGGTCTGGCTTGTTCTGGGCTGGCTCTTTGCACACCAGGGCGAGGACGGAATCATAGTTGCAAGAATGCATCACAGCTTGGCAGTGCTGGATTGTGTTTAAAGGAAAATTCTCCAGTTCATTCTATAAAGTGAAAATATAACTTGTATTATTTTTTATTGTATATATAAAATCTAAGCACTGTACAAATAATTTTTAAAGTGTGCAAATCACATTTGCAACAAATACTAGTAAACACTGTAAATACAGAGAATAAGTAGGTATAATGATGGCAGCAGAGAAACGGGTGAGCTGGGAGTTGGGTAGTAGAAAGAATGACAAAAATGGAAATATTTAGCAGAGGAATGTAGTTATGTTTAACAAACAGAAGAAATACTGAACTGAACATTACTAGTTTCCTCAAGTTATAAGGTAGAGATGATGTCTTTAAGGGCAAAAACTGAGGCCTCTTTCCAGAATTATTCACCATCTTACATGGTACTCTTATCCTACAGGTTATGTAGTGTCGGAATAGTTTTTACTTGATCACTGGGTAGTCATGTAATCAATATACTCTTTCAGGTTCTACCTTCAGTGATCACAACTGTTAGGCTAAGAACAATAAATCATTTGTACATTTTTTATTTAACTGAAGCTACTGCAGATGAGAAAATAACTACGTGAAGACTCCTGTAATTGTAATCCAGACAGTAATGTCAAACAGCAGAATCATAAGGATCTCACTAAGAAACACACTCCTCAAAATGAAAAGGACAGATATAAAACTTAGCGGGCAGTGAGTTTACATCAATGGGGAGAATGGTTATACAACTCGAAGCATGTAATCAGTATCAATGAATTGTATATGTAGCAACTGTTCAATTGGTGTATGTTTTGCTGCATATATTCTCAACAACAACAACAAAATAAACACAATTTTTTAAGTAAAAACGATAAGGATATTTGGTAGCACACAAGTGAACTCTCTAACCTATAAAGAGCCATGCAAATAGAACACTCAACAGATTAAATAAGTGCTTCTTACAACAAATGACCTTTCTCTTCACAGTTAGAAATCTGTATTTAATAAGAGATATTTAACGTGCTTATCCTTAAACTAGGAGTCTTGGTGGCACAGTAGTTAAAGCACTTGGCTGCTAATCAAGAGGTCAGCAGTTCGAACCCACTAGTCACTCTGCGGGAGAAAGATGCGGCAGTCTGCTTCTGTAAAATTTACAGCCTTGGAAATCCCATGCAGCAGTTTTATTCTGCCCTATAGGGTCACTATGAGTCAGAATCCACTTGAAGACAGTGGGTAGGTATCCTTAAACTAATGGTCTTACACAAACACTGAGTGGTGTCATGATGTAATTGATGGAATAAATTGTAATTTTATTTAAGTAAACAAAATACAGTGTTCCTGAAAACTGGGACATAATAAAACAACAACTTTTATTATGGACCACACATATACATACACATCATCCATAAATTTTATTCTAAATCCTGATTCCCTGGAATCTAGCAAACGTACATCAAAAAATGCAGGATCCGTTAAAATAGAAATTATAATTTAAATTAACAGAAATTAAAATTTAAAATTTCTAACCCATAGCAGGGAGATAATAAGTTTTCTTTCTTTGCAAAAGTAAATTAAATAATATTCCTTCTCTATAATTACTCAAAACCATGAAGGCCAGAGAAGCACTTGGTTGCTGTTCTCTCACAGCACAGGAATCAACAAAATGAAGGAATTAACAAATTTTATCCCCGCTCCTACCAAAATACGCTAATATTATGGCTACAACAGTTGTTTCTATATCTTAGCAATGTAAATGCTTATTATATAATGGGGCTCAGGAAATTTCTCTTTTAAGGGGCTCTAGCATCTCACTTGCCAATGAGTGTGTTAAAGAAAAGTGCTTGCTGTGGAGCTCGTGAAAGGTAACACACACTCACACACACACACAAAAAAACCCTTCATCCCAACTCGCTCATTTGCTAGACAATGGTCTGGCCTAGTGTGTAATTAACATATGCCATAAAGAATAATGTCCCCTTGAGGGTCTTATTTTAAAACTACGCGTTTTTTTCCTCATTTCTTCCATCTCATCATTTGTGGGTGAAAGAAAAACTGTATCCTTTCATCTCTGGTTTAAACAACTGATTTTGCATGCATACATATTATGATTTCTTCCCTCAAAATCATTGATCAAAAAAAAATTTATTCTGTCAAACTTTCACCCATTTTCAAACAATCTGACCTGATGGTAAACATTAATATTTGTAGGGCTTTCTTGAAAATAAAATAGTATAAATTTAACAAACTTGCCTTTGATTCTAAATCAATCAGGCTCACAGCTCTGTCGTCCACTTGAAGAATCATATCCTGAGTCCATACTTTGCCCTTGGCATCAAGCAATTTCAGCTTCCTTATTCCATCATCAATAGTTATCATAGCATCTTTCCGATCCAGAACAAATGTAGTCAAGTGCTTATGATGGACAAAAAAGACAGACATTTAGAACACATACACTACCTCATAACACACATTTTCCAAAAGAAAGCAAAGCTAACATAATTGAAGTCAGCTAGCAGAGAGATGAGAGACAAACAAAAAATACTCTAGAACTTGGCAGTTATTTCATCGAGAAAATAACGTTAAGCAGGCTTTTGTTGAACAGATGAAATAATGCCTTGTTTAAGATATCTAATTCTGTTCAAGACTGAGCCCTGTTGAACTATATAAACATGACATAAAAACAAATTCTTAACAGCTTAAATAACCTTCTCTTAAAATGACCTTTCCCACCATTGTACGAGATTATGGTTAAATGCTGAACAGCCGCAGATAATCTACAAGGCAGCTTCGAAACTATGGACACTGATACTTGAGAAGAGCAACAGCATTTTTAGTCTGTAAAAGCTATCAAACTTTTTATTTTACCAAAACCGCTAGCTGAAACAAACTATTTAAATTTAATTAAGCATGCATGAAATAGGCGGAAAACTAAAAGAGCAATTTAAAAATTATTTCTCTACTTTCTATTTTCCATTATAAGCAGGGGTCACCTAGCTAGACTTTCATTAAAAGCAAAGATCTTAAAAGATAACAACGGAGCAAAAACAAAAAGGAAACCATTATTTAAGAAAAACTAGTAATGACTTTAGATAAAATTAAGAATAAAACTAAACCACTCACTGAACCTGTCAAAGGCTTAAATTCAAGAAGATTCTATAATGCCACATAAAAGCCATTGTCCCGCTGTGACCAAAATAAGGCTGACAGTAAAGTTATCATTTTCATTTATTCTCTGTGAAAACCGGTCTCGGACTAACGGTATTTTTATATGTAACATCTCAGCTTTACAAAAATCTAAAAGAAAGCGTCAATAGCTTAAAATACATCATGGGGTGAAATAAAACATTATTCTGATTTTGCTTCCAATGTGTATATCCCTCAAGGGTCATTCTAAATTCTGGCAAACATCAAAAACATCATACTTCAACACGGTACTGGGATACATCCGACACACTGCTGATACTGTCCCGTGCATAATTCTTCCTTTGTTCTGAAAGAGAAATTTAAAAAGTCATTATCTACTCAGTAATAGGCTGAGGTTCATGTACTGGTGTCATGTGGCTATCTCTACAACTAGTCTATCTCACATATAAATACAGTAGTTGACACGCCACCCTTGTGTGGAGCATCTGAAAACACTCATTATTCACAGTATATCTTAAAGTCATAAGAAAGCCTAAATACACAATTTGACCTTGTATAAATTTTCAGAATTCCAAAGGTTAACAAGATTATAAATGTAAGGAAAAGAGTAATTTTGTCTAAAGGTTTTATTAAACAGGGACCTATTCTTTGACAAAAAAAGAAAAACTGGTTTGTAAATTTCATCTGTGAATGCACTGAGAACAGAACAGAACTGCAAACACTGTCACAGATACTGTATTATATGAGTTAGACTACGTGGCTAAAGTAAGGAGACACTACAAAAACATAGTTTTTCACAACAGCCAAATGATGGACAGTGTTAGAGGAGATTCAAAACGTGACTCAATCATACTGATCGCAATTAAACATTAAACATTAGCAATTCTCACACACATCTACAGAACGCACAAAAGTGATACTCAGAATTGTAGATAGAAGCTGTTAGGAAAAATGAGAAAGTTAGGTAGAAAGTTACTACACCAAACCACTTAAAAAGCAGAAAGAAATCTCTAATCTTTTTTTGTGAAATGCTGCAAAACCAAAAATAGTATTAAAATATATAATATGTGAAGGCAACATTCGGTATTTGTTACTTTCTAATCAAGCAACTGGCTTATTTATAAATTCACAGCTGTCCTATTTCTTCTAAAGCAGAATTCAAGATAAAAGGGTTAAACAAGATCAAACCTAAAGACTCTTACAGCATTAAAATTCTGACCTATATATGTAAAAACAAAAAAACCTTTATCTTTTGTAACATTTTTTCTAAATATAAACATACTTCTTTCAGTTCATATAAAAATGTTTAGATCTTCCTACACAGCAGAAATGGAAAAACTCTGCTGAACATAAAATAAAATACAAAAAAACACAAAGCACATTTACAGATTTATAATGTTAGTAAATAGAATTAAAGAAAAACTTGTATAAATTTTTGTTTCACAACATATATGAAAGTAAGTTTTCATTTACATTTACTTAAAAATTTTGATAAATATCTCATTATGCCCTATATTACACCACTCTGATGTTATTCTAATACATTCTATTTTTGCTTTTGCAGCATAAAATTACTTAATAAAAACAGACACACTACAAAGTTCAGTATCTGCTACCTTTCTTTTTTTGTTTGGATGATGACCTGAAGAAGTATGATCCATCTGGTCCTACCAAAATAATGTGATCAAAGAAAGAGCTGATTTCACCTCAAATTTTCTAGCCCAGTATGACAAAACATTTATCTTCACTTACTTGATGTATTCTACATATTACAAAGTGAATAAACAAAACTTTTCTGTATATTAGTTGAGGATCAATCAATGTGTGATAATAAATGGATAACTGCTCTTAGTGAAACCATTATAACTGACGAAATATAATACATGATTCAGGGACATAGCTACTCAAAGTACAATAAGAAATAATCACTACTTTAGAGTCAGTGGTTCATCACATTCTAATATACAACTCTCCATGGCCAACTCAGAATATGAGGGTAGTTCTATTTCCTTTGGTCTGACTTGGGAACAGCGGAAAAAATGCATATGATGTGGCAGCCCCAGGATGTTCAAATGCTTGACTGAGCCTTTCAGATAACTGTGATTAGCAGACACAGTTGAAGGCCAAAAATCCTATGTTCTCATTATAAAGTAGTTTAAGAATTCATCCCCCAAACTTCCCGACACGGAGTTCCTCAATCCCACAGGAACAAGCTTTACAGATATAGAAAAACACTATTTGGTAGCATTTGTAAACAGTATAATGATAACTGATCAGCTGCCTAGCAGATACGTTATCATTTCTATTATTCCAAATTAATAACTTATTTGAGGAATGCCTAAGCTGCTTTCATTCCCGTATTATACAATAAATAAGACATACGTGTTAAGAGAAATTTCCCTTTGAAGGTTCTAGAATTTATAAATGCCACTGAATGGATTTATAAACAAACCAGACATTCCAGTCATTTTAATTAAATGAATAATTAAAGGTTAATATGAACATTTAAATAGGCGATTTTAAGCTAAGGTCCCTAAGAAGCTATTGTAGTACATACCTTTTTTAAGAGAATCATATGTACTCACAAGTACAGCTGTAAATAGTAATTATGCTCCTAGGCTAAAAATCTCACCAAAAGCCTTAAAACAGTGTAAAAAGCCTAAATAAAATCTTTTGACACTACTCAAGTTAAAGTCTCTCATGGAAGTCCACTTCTGTCTCTACAATGGTTCTCGGCTTTGGCTGCACGTTTGAATGAACTTTAAAAACTAGTGCCCCAGAGATTCTAATGCAACTAACTGGGCTTGGGTGCAGCCTGAGTATGGACAATTGTAAAAGTGCCTCCAGTGATTTCAATGCGCAGCCAAGCTTGAAAACCACTGCTCTAAAGTTTGTGCAAACACCAACTCTCTGCACGCTATCTCTTCCAGCTTTTCCCTTCCATGAGCATAAATCATGGCCCAATAACACATTAAATAGTAACTGGAGAAATACAGCAGCAGAATTTTGGATTTCTAATATTATAAGCTGCTCAACCCCCAATACAAAAGTGAGGCTCTCGCTCCTGTTTCTCTAAGAATCAATTAAAGTTAGGAACAGAACAACAGGCCTCATCCCTTATTGCTTACAGTACCACTGGTTATGGTTCACTATTTTTCTTATCAGCTTTTAGTCTACGGACCAGAATATATGATTCCAAAAAGACAGAATTATGTGAATTAAATAACCAGCGAAGAAAATTCTTTACATGTCATTTTAGCAAAGTTAGCTTGATATGCTGTTGCATAAATTGATATTCAATTTCCAGATCAGAAATATTAAATTTAGGTGCCATCTAACTCTTCAATTAGTACAATACAATGGCAAGTGAGTATGAAGGCTTCAGTTTTTAAAGTTGATTCCCTTTTCCCTGCCTTGGCTGTCTATGCATAATATAGCAGCATCTGAAACAGCTAATATTCAGAGATGCAGTTAATATTCAGAAAATTTTTACTGTCTCTTTCTATGAAAACAAAGTTTTGCTTAGAAAGTAAGGATTTGTCAATTACAAAGAAAAAAGTAATTGCTGAGTATTTCTCTCTCTAAAGAAAACAATGGGCTACAACTCATATTACTCACTTTACACTTACAAAAACATTAAAGTAGAATTCCTTTCCCATTATCATAGTGTGTAACTGCCATAGAGGAGAGGTGCTTAACGGGAATTAGTAAACAGCACTGAGTGATCATTACTAACTCTTATTATCTAAGCAACTACAATCCCAGTCTGACAAATCAGTATCTGAACCAAGACACCATTTTAAAAACAAAGTCATTCTTCCAAAACTATATTATTAAGAATTAATTTTACTGGCCTGTTCAACAGATAATTAAAATGGCTTATCTTATGAGGAGAAAGAAAGCTTTAAAATTTTCAGTTAAAGTTGGGAGAACTGCCAAACTGTCATTTAGAGTCACATGCTCTGGCACACTCTAAGCAGCTGATTTTTGACTCTGATTTGCCCAACTACCTGATAAGATCATAATCATGAGTCATTTACTCTTTTAAGAATTTCAAAAGAACAGCATTTTGTTCTTTAAAAAAAAAAGGAAGAAAAAGATATAAGTGGTTTCCCTAAGTGAAACACATACTGTACATAGAGAGGGGAAACAGAAATGGGTTTAACTTTTGTCTGAAGTATTAAAAACAGGGAGATTAACTCCAAATACAGATCAGGAGATAGGAACATAAAGAGAAAAAAAAAAAATCAGTAGAAAAAGGAAAAAAAAATATGTAGGGGGTGGATGTCTGTTTTTTTGTTTTTAAAAAGTGGTGTATTCAGGAACACTACAGTAAGAAAGCTGAGTTAAGCACTGTGTAGAAATATAAGGAAGTTTAGAGTGAACTCAATTATATAAAAACTTACTTGCAATTTATGGCTACTTATACTCAATTCTTACCAGCTCCTCCCCCAGTAGAAAAACAAAATCAAGAAAAAACACAAATATATTTTCTGACTTATTAACATCACGAAAAGTCCAAACTCAAGGCTAAATTGAGACTTGAGAGAGAACCCGTCTATCATTTTTATCCATTAGTATCTGGCTTCCCAACAATACAAGTCTCAAAGTTACTCTAAATACTGGTAACAATAGCCAAGTATTACTAACTGGAAACTCGTGAACCTTGAGGTTTTCTGGAAACAGGATGACTTTAAACAGCTGATTATTAGGGAAAATGGTGATATTCCAAATTCAGCAATATCTAATTAAAAGGGAAGTTACTTTTCTAGGAAGTTCAATTATTCTGAACACTGCATACTTAAATAAACTTTCTGAGTGGCAATAAAGATGTCACAATGTCTATACATTAAAACTTACATATTTTAATGTATAAACTTTTACGGGGAAGACTCTAATCCCCAGCTCAGAATTTATTTACTCTACTAACAAGATTTTCAACCTAGTTCCCCAACCCGCAACATATGAGAAGTAATGTGAGATGCAGCCTTGGGACCCAGCCACACGGAAAAAGCAGCCGGAAATATTCAAAAGGGAAAAGATTCTGAATCATTTGTGTAAAGAATACAGCCTCTGATGTGTACACTGCAGTACACAAACTAGTGTGCACAATGATGACCCTCTGAATTCTCAAGAAATTACATGTGCTACATCCTGAGGGGGGAAAAATGCTTAATACGCTTCACAAGTATTTGCCTTAAAAACGTTTTTAAATTTTAGTGCTTAAAGAGTGCTTAAACAGGCTAGTTGGAAAAAAATATATATAAAATTTCCAATTCCCTGATAACACAAGCCAAGTGAAATGTTACTGTCTTGAGGTAAGCAGAGGAGAAAGAAATTAATATTTATTTTCCTAAGCAAGTGTTACATCATCAGGGATGTTTGAAATGCAGAGCCCCTTGGGTGCTGGCTTTGGAATTTTTTTACAACAATGAAGAAATTACAAAATAGGGTTATTAAAACTACAGCATATCTTGTTTTTCCTTGAATAAATTAAAATTAATAATACCCCTAAGAAAGCAAATTCATTGTCATATAAATGTGTAATTCACAATACATTTATGGTATTTGTTTGTGTGTATATATTTTTATATATATATTTCTAGTGCCCTATAGGAAGTGGTATCTGGAACATTAGTTTAAAAATATATAAAGAAAGTTATGTCTTGATCCTGTCAAAGTATCACTGTGACTACATGTATAACATCATTTGGAGTTAACGTCAAAATACTAAATGTGAGGCACTTGCTGAACCTTAGGACCCAGGACAAAAAGTGACTTTCCTGTACCCCTCCCCACCCCGATGACAGGTTCTATACTCCGATTTTCTCATATAAACTTTTCACAATATTATTATCAATTCTATTTTACAAACAAGGAAACTGGGGTCAATAGCTTAAATCATTTGCTCAAAATAGCAGCCAGTTGGCGGAAGAGCCACAAGTTGGCTATAGATACTTTGGTCTCCAAACCCATGCCCCATGCCACCTCTCTGAGTGCACGAACCAATATGAGTGGCATGTATGTTCTCAGATCTGAAAGTGTTCTCACAAAAAAGACAAGCTACATAAAACTCCTAATACAGGCCCTGGTACGTGGTTAGTGTGTAAAAACCAGCGGCCATTATTGTGAAAACTCACATTCTGGTGCTCTTAATAGTATTCTCATATTCCAAAGAGGTGCATATACCACCCAGAAAGGCAATTTAATTCTGTGAGTTTTACTCAACTACTTTAATATCTGTGAAAGGAGAAATTTTAGAGAAAATGCATAAAATTGTGAAGAAATCAAGGACACTACAAATATCTTCTTCACCAACTTTCAAGTTACAAAGAGAAAATTAAAATCATGTAGTCTGGGAGGCTAAATGCTCCCAATGTTAAGTAAATACAGTTAAGACTTCAACTAGAATTTATTTATTGCAAAGGTTCGTTCAAAATATAATAGTATTACTCCATTGTCATTTATCCATCTATCCATCATGTTAAAGGGAAGGCACTGTGGGTGCACACTGTGTTGGGGAAGTGGATATTAGGTATAAAAAGGAATGGCACATTATCTGTAACCTCAAGGAACTTAAAAGCATCTTACTTCTAAACCTAGTATTATTGCTAAGCTTGTTTCCTTCCTCAGGAAATACCTCTTGAATTTGCCCTATCCCTCTCTTTATAGCCTGCTTTACATACACATGGGTCATTTTTATCACACTACACAAAGTGAATTGTCAGTATTTTCTTACCAGCAAGATTTTTAAATTGTGCAACTCTGACAGATCACCTAATCTTAAAAAGCAGCCTTGGTTTATTTCATACGTAAAAAGAGGGAAATAAAAATTCAGTGCTTAAAAGCTAAAGATTTTCAATCCTTACATCTACCATTTTATGAAGCTGCTCCTAACACAAAACAGTCATTAAAATACGTAGGTGAGTCCTACTTTCTACCCCTTAGTACTTCCTTAGATCTCTGAACACAGTTTCAGATCTGTGGTGTTTGTGAGAGGATGAACACTTTTTCTCCTTAACCAAACTCTTAGGACTCTTACTTAGACCTCTGATTCACCTATCTCCATTCATACTCATCAAATTCAGCCTCAATACTACTACCAGAGGGACCCAAGACAAATTTGGCCTTATTACTTCCCTGGCTAAAATACTACAATGGCTGTTCGTTGCCTACAAACAATGTCCAAATCCCTTGGTTATGATTCTTCCTAATATGGTCCATGTTTACTCTTCCAGCCTTATTTCCCATCTTGTTACTAGCCGCTCCATAGGAGAAAGACGTGGCAGTCTGCTTCCATAAAGATTACAGCCTAGGAAACCCTTTGGGGCAGTTCTACTCTGTTCTATAGTATATCACTATGAGTGAGAATTAACTGGACGGCACACAGCACCAACAACACTCCAGCTAACGCCAAACAGCCTGCAGTTTGTTAATTCATTATATTCATTCTACAAGTATTTACTGAGCATAAATTTTACATTAGACACTGTGCTAGGCACAGGACATACTAAAGTGAACAAGACAAATACGGCCCACCTTCATAGCGCTTATACCAAAAACCAACTGCTGTTGAGTCGATTCCGACTCATGGTGACCCCATGTGTGTCAGAGTAGAACTGCACTCTATACGGTTTTCAATGGCTGATTTTTTAGAACCAGATCATCAGGGCTTCCTTCTGAGGCAACTCTGGGTGAACCCAAATCTCCAATCTTTTGGTTAGCAGTTGAGCAGGTTAACCATTTGCACCTTCAAAGGACTTGGGTTTCATATCATCATTCATAGTGTCCCCCTGCCCCCCAAATGCCTAGAGAACACCTACTTACCTTTCAGAGATTAGCTCATGGCTCATCTCCTCTATGAAATCCCTCTGACCATCCGCCCACTCAGAAGAACTGGGCACCCCGAAGGCATCCTGTACACATAGCCATCCAAGCACAGTTTGCCCTTTATTATATCTAGTCTAGTCTACCTCACCAATGCTATACAAGCAATGACCATCACTTATTCATCTCCGAAATGAATAAAGGACATGGAAATAAAGACTATGAAGATTATGACTTAAGACATAGCAGCACTTACTAGATGATTTGTCTAGAAATGAAAGACTGAAAGAATGACTTTATTCTTACAAAAACCAATTTCCCTTTTAAGTTACCTTTAAGTCACTCTCTAAATTGCAAGTTCCTTAAAGTCAGGGACCATATATTACTGTAACATGTCTCAGCGCACATTAATCACAAAATAAATATTTGTTGAATAAATTCTCTAGATTCACAATTCATAACTACTAGGCCTTGGTAAAAAATATCCCAATATAGTACTCAAGAAAACTGAAACCGACAGGCTAATCAGACTGATGAGGCCATTAAGAAAACATATCCTTGTATGGTTTTAAATCCATTTTATGAATTCATGATTTGAGTTACAAACATTATTCACTGACTATATAGGCAGTAAAAGAATCACAAAATCTTAAAATTGTTCACTCTTACCACAGACAAGAAGTTACAGATTTAGAGAATATATTACAAAAAAGAATTTGACAATTTTAGAGAATTCTGTTGGTTCCTATAGTAGATAATAATAGTAATAATAATACTAATAACAAAAACAATGACAACAATAATAGCAAATATACGCAGGCACTGTTCTAAGCATTGTACATGAATTAACTCATTTAATTCTCGTATCAACCCTATGAGGTATTCCCATTATACAGATAAGTAGCAAAATGAAATACAGATGATGAAGTAATCTGCCCAACATCATTCAGCTATTAAGTGGTGCAACTGAGTCTGAACTCAGGAAGTCTGGTTCCAGAGGTTTTGCTCTTAACCATAATACTATTCTGGCTCTTTTATTATTAAAACATAATAAAGACCATGCAGACCCTGGAAAAACAAAGGATTTCCTAAATATATGTGGCATATTTCAAGAATCCTCAACTTCTTTTAAGACTTATTTTTATATTTGAAGTTTAAAAAATATTATGTGTACATGAAGCAATATAGACAGGGCACTGGCAGTTACGGCAGAATTGGGGAGAAAGCTTGGTATTTTTGCAGTGCAGTAAAGAAATTATGCAAGGGCTGTTAGTCTTACTGCAACGCTACCCAAAAAGTTCAAGTCTATAAGGAAGAAGTTATGTCAACTGTCAGCACATAATTGAGTCAGTCATGAAGATCAACGAACAAATCAAAAATAAACAGAGGAAAAAATCCAGATAAGGCACTGATGCCATGCAAAAGATTCCTTATACAGTGATGTAAGACATTTCTTTTGTAGTTTTAAATGTATTACAGAAAACAGAGGTCACAAATTTGTTACAGTTTTTTGAAAAAAAACCTATCACTACTTTAATCCAAAGAATATAAACACAGTATGGGTTCAAACTCTCACTCTGAAAAAGTAATTAGTAAAAAGTGCCTTAAAAACAGAATTATATCCCATCAAATAACCAAACATACCATAAAGGGCCTTTGCACTTGAACTGTGTTCTCTGTCCATTTGGGAAAAAGTGGGTAATCCGTAGCCACTGTAATTAAAAAAAAAAAAAAAAAAAGGTCATTGTGTAGGTTAAAGTTCACAGTAAGCAAATAGATTCAAAATTATAAAATAAAAATTCCAATGCACCATAATCACCATGTGACTGGGCTTGCCAAAATGAGTCAACTCCCACTCTGGTGAGTGGTCAAACAAATAGAATGTATAAACCATGCTATCCCAATGAGGACCAAATCTGATGCAAATCCCAGCTTCCTTTCAAATGCCAAGTAAGAACTGGAGCCAAGAGGATTCACCAATATTTAAATTATCTTAGAAGAGTTTGTTTGCCATACTGAGTAGAGTTCTGACCAGTAATCCAGTTATACACCTCTTAATAATTCAAGCTATAATGGAATACAAAGTATTTTCACAGATACTTAAAATATAGTAATCTAAACACACTTTTGGGATTTTGACCTGCTTTACTGTCTACCTAGCCTCCTGTTACTAATGTGTTATTTGAATTTTGTTCATTTATTCAGCAAACATTTATTAAGCCCAAAATTCTAGAAGATTGGAGAGAACGGAAGGCAGGGTATTGTGAATAGGACAATTAAGTGAAATAGAGCAGAATTTGATATGTGAGTAAAACTAATAGCTACATCATGGAAGATGAAAAAAGAATTCTTTTTATTAGGATATCCAAGAAGGCTTTACCACCAAGTTAACGTTCAAGCAGTATCTAAAAGAATGAAAAGAAATTCAACAGACAGGTGGATAATTAAGCGAGGAAAAGGTGAATGGAACTGGCATAAATTCAAGAAACAGCATGGCGTCTGAGGGAAAATGCATCTATAGGTAGTTCCCAGTTTTTAAATTAAAAAAACCAAACCCATTGCCGTCAAGTAGATTCTGACTCATAGCCGCCCTACAAGACAGAAAAACTCTGCCCCATAGAGTTTCCCACAAACGCTTGGTGGATTTGAACTGTCGACCTTTTGGTTAGCAGCTGTAGCTCTTAAGCACTTCTCCACCAGGTTACTGACACCCATTTTAAGGACAACTCCTACTTGCCCTTTAATGTTATGTAAATTTGCCCTCACTTTGAAACAAGTGAACCAACCCCTACTTGCAACAAATTCCTCATCACAATCACCTTCGCTGGCTGCATGTGCAGCTTCTAAATCATTTAACAGGCTTTGAGCCTCTTCGTGCATTAAAGCAAGGCTAAACAAGAACTACACGCACCTGTTTCGACTGCCTACAAATTTTAGCTTAAAGACACTCAGGAATGAATCTCGTTCGTAACCGGACAGTGCCTGTAATGTGACCTGCCCAGAACCAATAAATGGATAGAAAATTAAGTTGAAGGCAGATAGAGAAAGAGTTCATATGTCATGCTGAAGAATTTATTGTTTATCCTCTGGCTACAGTAAATATTTTTATACAAGGAAGTGACATGATCGGAAAAAATTTTTAAAGAAGATAATCCAGGAATTGATGGGAAGGTAACCTGACAGGAAGGTGATGGAGAAATTCAGGAAGGAGCTAAAAGTCACAAATAGAGCTACAGAAGGCAGGGATGGAAACAAGAGCTCTTTAACAGAGTAAATTAGTATAAATTAATGAATCAATGGATGTTTGTTTTAAGGAAAAAGGAAGAATTGAGGATAATGGCCAGATTTTCCAGCTTGAACAACTAACAGACAAGACTGAGCTGGCACCTGACGCTCTTCCCCGTTGGTTCTTCACAACCAACACTAAAGAGATACGCGAAAACCTCTGTAAAGAGAAAAGACAAAGCTAACTCTTTGTAATGGGAACAATCTGGTTCTGAAAAATGAAGGGTGAACTATATATCACAATGGCCAATATAGAATAACAACATTAACCACAATATATAAGGCGACAGCCACTTAAATCAGGGTTGTGATTTCAAGTGACACCCAGGAATTGTACTGCTCGCCTGGTCTTAACTTTTTTTTACACACTGGTAAATAGCTTCATAGCTTGGCCAAGATAACATTTAAATTCCTAAAATGCTGATATTTTATGAATGAAAATAATAGAATGCTACAGGGAAACAGAAAGATCTGAAGTATACATGTAATTCTGGAAAGCAGTAATATGTAATATACCAGAATGAAACGTTTTCCAACTATGAAATCGTTATCACTGGGGTTGACAACTACTTAACTATCTCATTCTTACCAGACACAGTAAACCTTTAATGATAACATACAGTAGTGTTACAAAGAAATTATGTATTACTGAGAAACGAACTACACAAAGAAATGACACTAATCTTTTCATTAAAAATATAAAACAATTAAAACCACCAAATCTAATCCCCCCCAAAACAAATTAAGTATAAACCTTTCAACTTACTTCATTTGAGATGAGTACATTCCAAAACCACTGGGATGATTAGAAATGTGACCGTTCATCGTGGCTTCTGTGTCTGTGTTCTGAAAAACGAAAGGCACTCAGACTGAAGGCAGTAAAAAGCCCATGACACCTCAGGTTCCCAGAGTTATTCATTCAACAAATATGTTACTGCTGGGAGTGATGACGGCTGAGACAGAGACACAAACTTCTCCACCCTCAAAGAGCTCAGGTTCCAAAGGTATAGGTACACATATACACAAAGATCCAACAGGCATTTAACATTAATATACTAAAATTATAACCAGATTTAGGTAAGTAAAAGAAAAATCTAAAATACAGTCCTGAATCTTCTAAATATACAGGCACAATTCCATATTCTGTCCAAACTCATAATCAATTGTCAGCCTTAAGAAATGTTATTTTGTCTACTTTTCCATTATAAAAGTAATACAGACACATTAAGTTAAAAAAACTAGAGAAATAAAGTACAAAAGGGGAAAATATCACCCAGGGCCCTACCATTTAAAGATAGGAATTTAAAAGTCCTGTCAATTTCCTTCCAGTCTTTTGTCTGCATGTAGTTTTCTTTCCTTATTTCCTCCTTTCTTACTTCCTTCTTCCCTTTCTTGCTTCTTTCAAAGTGTATTTGTAAATATGCTATCCATACACTCTTGGATAAATCTCTTTTCAATAAAGTGTTCATTTACACATTCCTTTTATTTTTCACAAGAAAAAAATTAACATCAGGTAGTTAACTTCAGAAAACATTTTTATAATCTACTTCACTAATTTTCTATGAGCAAAATGAATGAGTACAAATGAGTTGTTGTCAGGTGCTGATGAGTCATTTCAGACTCACAGTAAGTCCACAGAACATAGTAGGTAGAATTGCCCGATAGGGTTTCCCAGGCTGTAATTTTAGGGAGCAGATTGCCAGGTTTTCTCTCCCACAGTGGGGCTGGTAGGTTCAAACTGCTGACAATGTCAAATTCAAGGGCTTTTTCTTTCTTTCTTTTCCTAGGCAACACTGTTACACTTGATTTCTTTGTGTTTTGCTACACTTGATTTCTTTCTATGTCCTGTGTCACAGAACTGGATCTTGTCTTATTTTTCTGACTTTTGCCTTTTCATGTATTTATTTACATTACTATTGAGAGGACATAGTAATATAAATATGTGAAAAGACAAAAGTCAGAAAAAGAAGATTCAGTTCTGTGACACAAAACACGAAGCAATTACTATGTCCTCTCAGTGGAGCCCTGGTGGTGTAGCGGTTAAGAGCTTGGCTGTTAACCAAAAGGTGGGCAGTCTGAATCCGCAAGCCACTCCTTGGAAACCTTACAGGGCAGTTCTACTCTGTCCTGTAAGGCGGCTATGAGTCAGAAGCAACTCAACAGCAAAGACAGGCTTGGGTTTGTTTCTTTTTTTGTCCTCCCAATAACTGGCAGGGCATATCCCAGTATTACAGAGACTAACAGGAAGAGGGTAGAAGCATTAACAACTACTGAGTAAATATTATGTGCTGTGCACTATGATAGCTACTGGGACTACCAAGGTAAACAACACATATATTGTCCTAGTTACGGGGCCAACAGTCTAGAAGGAAGAACAGAAACTTAACAATTACATATAAATTATAATTTGTGGTTACTGCTACAAAGGGACATTCAAGGTGACATGGGAGCACACAATAGGGAAACAGTTCAGATTGGTAGTGCAGACAAGGTCTACAAAAAGAAATGATATTGAGATCTAGTAACTTCAAGTTAATTATTTCTCATTGTTCAGATCTCAGTTTAATCACCAAGTTCTCAGGGAACCTTTTACTGACCTCCCTGAATAGGTAAAATCCCACCATCAGATACTCTTAGCACTATAAACTCTTTTCCAAAGTACTTAATACAGTTATAATTTTTCATTTTTTTTAAATTAATTCCTAACTTTTCACTAGACTTTAAGCTCCATAAGGACAGGGACTTCTGTTTGATGACTGTTAGAATCTTATGTTACAAGAACAGCTGTTGTTAGGTGCCATCGAGTTGGTTCTGACTCACAGCAACCCTGCGTACAACACAATGAAACACTTGCCCAGTTTTGCACCATCATCGCAATCCTTGCTGTGTTTAAACCCATCATTGCAGCCGCTATGTCAATTCGTCTTTTTGAGGGTCTTACTCTTTTTCGCTGATCCTCTACTTTACCAAGCATGATGTCCTTCTCCAGGGACTGGTGCCTCCTGATAACACGACCAAAGTACGTGAGACAAAGTCTCACCATCCTTGCTTCTAAGCAGCATTCTGGCTGCACTTCTTCCAAGGCAGATTTGTTTATTCCTCTGGAAATCTATGGCATATTCAATTTCTTCACCAACACCACAATTCAAAGGCGTCAATTCTTCTTCAGTCTTCCTTATTCACTGTCCAAGTTTCGCACGCATACGAGCCAAATGAAAATACCATGGCTTGGGTCAGGCATATCTTAGTCTTCAAGGTGACATCTTTGCTTTTTAACACTTCAAAGAGGTCTTTTGCAGCAGATCTGCCCAATGCAATAAGTCCTTTGATTTCTTGGCTGCTGCTTCCATGGGCGTTGACTGTGGATCCAAGTAAAATGAAATCCTTGACAACTTCAACATTTTCTCCATTTATTATGATGTTGCTAATTTGTCCAGTTGTGGTGATTTTTGTCTTCTTTATGCGGAGGTGTAACCCACACTGAAAGCTGTAGTTTTTGATCTTCATCAGTACACATTTCAAGTCCTCTTTACGTTAAGCAAGCAAGGTTGTATCATCTGCATATTGCTGGCTGTTAATGAGTCTTCCTTTGACCCTAATGCCACATTCTTCTTCATATACTCCAGTTTATCAGATAATTTGCTCAGCATGTAGACTGAATAAGTATGGTGAAAAGACATAACCCTGACACATACCTTTTCTGATTTTAAACCACACAGTATACCCCTTGTTCTGTTCAAATGACTGCCTCTTGGGCTATGTACAGGTTCCTCGTGAGCACAATTAAGTGTTCCAGAATTCTCATTCTTCCCAATGTTATCCATAATTTCTTATGATCCACACAGTTGAATGCATCTGCATAGTCAATTAAACACAGGTAATCATCTTTATGGTATTCTCTGCTTTCAGCCAAGATCCTTCTGACATCAGCAATGACATCAATGATGTCAAGAATAGAACCAGGCATAAATAGTACCACGTATTCATTAAACATTTTATGCAAAGGAAAGAAGGAAGGGAAGTCCACAGCCTACTCTTCAATGAGTTTACTGTATTCATAAAGATACAAAATTAATTCATATTGGACCAACTGTAAATAACTAAGTCCCAAAGTATGTGGCTCTACTTTAAATCCACTACAGGTTCAAAAACGGAAAAGCCATGCAGACTGTCATAGCTCTTTGGAAGGGCTGGGACTTGACTTAGTTCTTTCAGACAGGATTTATAAAGGTCCTTGGAATAAAAACCAAAAACCCCTGCCACAGAGTCACTTCCGACTCACAGCAACTCTACAGGACAGAGGAGAATTGCCTCGCAGGGTTTCTAAGGCTGTAAATCTTTACGGAAGCAGACCGTCACATCTTTCTCCCACGGAGCAGCCGGTGGGTTCAAACCACTGATCTTCCGGTTAGCAGCTGAGCTCTTTAACCACTGTGCCACCAGAGCTGCCTGGAATACTCAAGTTTAATTCAAGATTTCCTGATACTCTTGTCCATATTTATATACACTGATTAGAAGGAAATTTCTAAATTAAGAAATAAAGAAAAATTGGCCTCTACACGAGATAAGCACTGAATTTATAGAAGTATATTACACTTCTACTACATTGTTGTATTCCAGATTTTGTTGTTGGTTGTCCTTCTTCAGTTTATACTTAGATACCATCAGTGTTGTGCTGGTAAACTACCTCTCTGGACACAACCAAACACACACAAACGCACAAGCCCTGATTTGCAGTGTTGGCCCATTTCTGTGGTATTCATATTCCCACCATGGCTGATTTCAAGCTGTCAGTCGTTGGAAGTGATTTCAAGCTAACAAACAGCCTATAAAATTCCTAAATATTCCACAATTGGCTCTCACAGCCTACAGAATCCAGCTAGAGCACACCACTACCACAATTCTAGAATTTCAAGGCAGGAGAGAGGCCTGGAATAGAATTATGAGTCTAGAGCTATTAGTTAGGACACCAACATTCAGTTAAGTCAATAGTTCACACTATTTCTGGCACCAACTGGCCTAAGCAAGTCACTCAAGCCTCTGTCTCAATTTTCTCATCTGTAAAACGGAGATAATTCCTGGTCTTCCCAGCTCACAGGACTAGTGTTAAAGATCAAATGGGATAGATGTTACATGTAAGTTTCTTCCAAAGCTGAACAAAGAAGTGTTCTTTCAAAAGAAGCTGGTTCATTCAATATATATATTGACCCCCCAGGGTTTCTGCTGATTTTGATCTGGTTTTCATTTTAAAACCACAGCAGCTGGTTTTAATGAAAAGTGATAGCCACAGCATCACATCGTTTTCGTTTTTAATTCTTCATGACAGTCAAATAAACGCATGGTTTGTGTTTTGTTTTGTTTTTTAATAGTGATCTGTCAGAATAAGAGAACATTAGAAAAGGGAATAGAAAATGTCAATTTGCTAAACTGAATTTTAAATATAGAAACTTTTTCATTTGGCAATCATGGTTTCACTTGTCACAGATGCTCACGTAGCAATATGGAGGGTTTCAAATATTTCAAGACAGCAATTACAATGTTCACCTTGCAAAGGAAACAATTATGAACGTTTATGTTTGCCTTTTTTCCTTTAGGCTTTTAAGAGACATGTCCAATTTATACTTAACAGATCATAGATATAATTTAAAAGAATCATCAACTTTTAATGAAAAAAAGGGTGTGTTTATTTTTATTAACTATTAAACAAAGCAACTTAAACACTAAACAGTTTTTCTTCATCAATTTAAATTTAAAGACTCACAACTTCAGTTAATTCTACTAAATTAACTACTTCATTCTACTAAAATCATAAACTAAAACTGTCATAATAGTTTCCAACTGATTTA